CCCCAAAACCCCAAAACCCCAAAACCCCACTACGCAGTAAAATCTAAAATAGCTGAAAATAATAAGTGAAATAATAATAAAATAATTTCTTAAATATGAAGAGAACAAGAGAAGTGTTACACTACAAACATCCAGAGGACAGACCAGATCTCTCAGGATGTACCTACTTCGATGGAGAGGATAATGGAGAAGAGCAGAGAAGAAGAAAGCTGCAATAGGAGAACAGAGAGTTTCTTATGAAGCAAATGGAGGAGAAGAAGTGGAAGCAAGACTTCGAGAAAAAACAAGATCAGTAAGTATCACTCAGTTTTAGAGAAGAGGTGAATCAAGCAGATATTCATATATCACAAGCATAATAAGCAGATAATGATGTTTAGTCTATGCTTATAATGCCTCTGATTATATGAATTTGATAGAGATATCAAATTATTGCATCAGCAATTAATTTACAAATATGATAACTGACTATTTTAAATAGGATGTTTGACCAACAAAGACTTCACTTTGCCAAGTTACAGAACCAAGCAGCTGAATCATACATGCAAAATCAGAGAGATATGACCAAGGCAGCAATGCAGACCAACGTCTAGATCAACAGCTATAAAAATGACTTCGAAAATAAGAACAAGAAAGACGAACAGCAGCAGGACAGGTAGGAGAACACTTGGGCCACTCAGACTAGACAGAACTATGTGGACACCTCAAACATGAACAAATACTATCTCCCTCAGTGAAGTCGCAGTTATATAACATTTAACTTAAACATTCAATAGTTAGACTTTACTATCAAATTAAAATTTCACTCTAGTTAACTCATATTATATACTCTTATAAGTATTTTACTTCTTTCCTCAGTTAAAGTCATTCTTTATAGAAGACAGTATAGATATTACTTTTTCTAGCTTTTTCTTTAGATCACTATCACCCTGAATCTTTTCAATCAAAGCCAGAGTGCTTGAAGTTGTAGCTGATCTGGAATTGCTATCAAGTGTGCCAGTAATCAGTGACCGTATATCATTGTTGTTGTCTATAGCACTGCCTTAGTTACTGCTATGTTACTGTACCACGTGATCATCTCTTTCATCCTCTGCTTCCTCCACTATTGTGTTCTCTTCAGTGGAAGGGTTATAAATAAACTGTAGAGTTTGTTAAGAAGCTGGAGTCTACATTGACTAATTCGACCCGCTTCTAATGTGATGCCTAGACTAAGCACTAATGTTGTGAATCGGATTCACTCCTTGCATCAGAGGATTGCTCTGCACACTCTAATTGTATCTATCATTACTAATTATTGAATTATTATGTTTGCTTGAGTCATTTTTAGAAGTTCCCCCTCCACTGCCTGAGTTGGTGCTGTTGTATCTGTTGTTCACGTTAAATGGTTAGATCAATAGCTTCTCTTTATGAGTCTTCATGTTCTAGGTGGGATGGTTGCCCTGAATGTGCTCCATTAAATCTGAGTAAGCTGCTAGTTGCTTCAGAGTGTCAAAAGTTTAGCGAATGCTTTTTTGTCTCTCCATCTAGATCTTCATAAATATTTTAGAAGAAAGAAGGTACACAAGACCAACACAGATCTGATTGTTTTTCATTGAGGTCTATGGTCTGGAATGGGGAATCTTCTTTTGCGGAATGGGCTGTGTTGACTTTATGGTAGTTAGAGTTGTACTAGGTCTATTTGAGTTCTTGGAATCAAAGTTATTTGTACTTTAGAAGCTTTGATTAGTGAATTACTTGAACAAGTTGAAGCCTTTCTAATTATTAATAGCTCTAGAAGTCTGACTCAGATTCAGCTTGACATTCGTGCTTTGAAGATACTGCTTTTACTTATCAGTTAAACTGGCATTGTTATTGTTATTCCTGCCATTATTACTGGCTACAATAGCTGTAGTATTAATTCTAAGTTTAGTAGGTTGCGCTTTAAGTGAAGTGTTTGGCCTAAACTGGGTATTCTTAAGCTTTGAGCTGTGTAAACTACCACCTTCACCTCTGGTTGCACTCATACCTGCTCCTGCTTGGTAATAAGACTCATGCTAGTCCTAGTCCTACTCAGTCAACGCGGTATTCTTCTTCAGATGGAAAGTCTGATGTGTTTGATAGGCGTTAGAACCTTGATTTGAATGAAACTCAAACTGATTTCTTCCTAAGTCCTTGCTGCGAGTCTTCTACCTCGTCGGAGTTTTCTTCTTCTCTGTGGAAAATGGTTCTTCATTAATGGGTTAAATAAGGTTGTTGTAGCGTTGTCTTGATCGAGAACGCAATTCATTGTTCAATAGATTGTTCTGATGCTACTGATTCTGCTACTCTTATAACTTCATGAGGGATATGTTCTTCTAATGACTTGTTGCATTTTTTGTTGATAAGATAATGTTGTTATTATTGAAGGAGAATCCAAGTTATTTCTGAGTGAAAGACTGGTTTTTGGTGGTTTAAGGGACAATCTAAGGGGTGAAAGTTTAGTTAAGCAGATCTTTGCCTTTGCCCTCATTCATAGACATATCTTCTATCTTTAGCAGGGTGTTTTTGGCACTAACTGAACTAGGACCTGCCTCACAGGGAGCGTTGTTGCTGATAGTGTTGTTATTGGTATTGCTTACTGATATATCTGTTTGGGATTCTGGTCGGAGTCTCATACTGAACATACTTGGTTTCTTTTTCTTGCTTTTTTAGTTATTTTGATGAACCAGCATGTTAGTCTGAGGTCTCTGCACTAAATTAATCAAATTGATGCTTTGCTGTTGCATTTCTTGCATCGAAGTCTCTCTTCCACTGGGTTGCATGATATTTGGGTTGAAGCTGAGTCTGTTATCTTCAAGCATTGAGTAATCATTTTGGCGAGATCGGGGATCCTGAACCTCCTGGCGTGAAAAAGAAGGTGCGTTGTTGGTTTGCAGCAGATCCAAGTCACTCTGGCACAAGTAATCCTTGAAGTCCTTGTTGGTATTCTGATTTTAAGTGTGCTGGTACGACGTCATATTGAACTTCGTGTTTTGCCTGTACTCGCTGTGACTGTACTTGTCTATGTGGCTGTTGCTAAGGTTGTCAAGCACTGGGTTGTAGTTGTGAATGCTTGACTGATTAATTCCGTTGCCTTCGTTATAACGACTACTTGTGGGTTCCACACTATTATTATGATTCATTCTAGTGACAATCACCTGTGGTTCCTCAATCATGTTGTCCAGCATGTCGTTATTGTCCTCGTCTGCTGCGTCGTCCTGCACGTATCTGCGGTTTTCCTTACGTCCAACGCTGTGAGAGGAAGTGTTGTCTAGGGAACTCCATAGTCTGAGTTTATTCACGCTGTTATTTGTTGAACTATCTACACTGTCCTTAGTCTGATTCAGATTGATCTTGATTTCCAGTTTTTTTACTGCTGAATTATCATACCGCTAGGCTAGCGCAGAAGCAGATGAGGGCACGCACAGAGTCTAGTTCATTCGCTTATTGGCTTGAGCAGGCTGAGTTTGGCTCATAGATTGGATTCTGGGGTTGCTTGAATCACCGCCAGTGCTGCCTCTTGCATAATAATTATTATTAGTTTTATGTTTATTTAGAGTTGCAGATAGTTGTTGGTGATGCTGATTAGTAGCTCCTGCTAGAATTGAGTTATTCTTGAGTTGGGCTTGCTAACTTGAAATGTTAATGGTCTGTGACAGGGTCTTCTAGACTATAGCCTACACCGCAGCCAGATTGTTCTAGATCATTTGCTGCTTCTCATAGGCAGCTTTACTTGAGGCAGAGATAATGTGTGGTTGCGAATGGATTTATTGTTTGTTTTAAGTCGGTGGAATGCTGAAGGTTAGAGAAGGCTTAAGTTCTGTTAGTCTTTGAGGTGACTTGCTCTGAGTTATGAAGGTGTTTGATCGCTAATTCAACGATGTTTTTGAATTACTGGTTGAGCTGTTATGGTTTAGGTTGAGAGTGATATTAGCAAGTTTCTTCGTTTTAGATGATTTTATTTTCTGAGCCTGCTGCATCTGCTATTGTTTCATGATTACTTATATATTTTAAATTTAATATTTCAAAATATTTTATTAGTATGCTCCACGGGGTTTTGGGGTTTTGGGGTTTTGGGG